CGGGGCGGGGCGGGGAGCCCCGCCTGCCACCCAGTCCGGAGCGCGGTCCCCAGGCGTGGGGCGCAAGCCGCAGGTAGGGAGGATGGGAAGAACAGAGCCGGGAGGAGGCAAGAAGATGAGCCGACCCAAGGGGCTTCCCAGCGAGGGGCAAGACGAGGAAGTGCTCGAGGAGCTGCAGAGCCTCGGGTAAGGGGCAGCGCGACCCCCCGGGCTTCGGGCAGCCAGCCCATTGCTGGCCCAGTCCCGCTGGCCCGTAGCCTCCTTTCCCGCGCGGCTGGGAAGGCAGGAATGGCTCTGCATTGTGGGGATGGCGAGCAGGCATAGGAATCCCGGGCTGGGTCAGCCATGAGAGCTGCCCCAGATGGGCGGGGGGGAGGAGAAGGGAAGGGTCGCCGTGATGGTTGTCTCCTCTGACCCCCCCAGCTATGAGGAAGTTGTTGGCACCATCAGCTCGGTGTGTTTGCCTGCATGGGGCTCTCACTGCAGCTGGATGTACTTGTGTGGGACCAGCCCACAGGGGTCAGTGTGAGGGGCTGCTTCAGAATCACTGTTGGGAGAAAAAGAAGGAGGGTCTGTTAAACCACTCAAAATGTAAACAAAAAAGTGGAAAAATCTGCAGGCAACTGCATAGATAGAGGGGCATTCCGCAGCTGTCACGCCTGCAGCAGGTACTGAGTAGGGTTTGGGAGTTAGCATATTTTGCCTGGACATTTTAAACAGAATTGATCATTATTTTTCATCCATGTATGCAAAATAAAGGGACTTTCCCAAGGTGAGGAGAGAAAAAGAAAACCATTACAGGATTTCATGGGTTGCCAGAGCATTTGGAACTGTTTCCTAATTATGTCCAGTTCAGATATGGTCTAATGTATATGACTTACTGAGTTAGATTCTGTAACAGATAGACAGTTAGGTCTATCTATCTATCTATCTATCTATCTATCTATCTATCTGACTGCATTAAATTAATTGTTGCACTCTGAATAACATTTGGTAATTATACATTTCTGTTGGAATCAATTGCCACAGTTGGCAATTTCAAAAGTGATGATAGTTTTATATTTCTTCCCCACTCACCTCCATAGTACTAATAACTTCACAGTACCAGGCCATCCCTTTGGTGACCTGATTGCATAGTTTTACTGTGATGACATCTCACCCAATATGGTATATGAGTGTGACTTTACAATGTTACAATCTCTGTATATTTGTTTCCTGGGAAATTTTGTGATGACAAAATACTGTCTTTTGCAGATCTTATCATGCAATGTCTAGCAGTTAGATGGTGTTGCAGAAAGAGAGCGTCATCACTGCTTTTGAGATTGTTCAGACGCTTCAGGGGGTAGCTGAATTAGTCTGTACAGGATAAAATTAAAAAACAACAAATGGTCTGGTAGCACTTTATAGACTAACAAAACATGTAGATGATATCATGAGCTTTCATGGGCACAGCCCACTTCTTCAGATGACCAGAGTTTTGAGTTTAGGATGTGCAAATCTAAAATAAAGAGGGGAGAAGGTGGGGAAGGAAAAAAAGGAGGGGGGCGGGAAACAAGGAGTAGAGGGTATGGAAATATCAAAGGGAAAAACAGGAAGGCAGAACTGAGAATCAGTGAGCACCTGAAGATTGGTTAGTTAAAAGGAACCAGATAAGAATCAAAGTCAATATATAGTACCCTTCCTAACACAGGAATCTACATAAAGGGCTGTTTGCACCTTCATTGAATGTTAGGTTGATAGTGTCCCAATCATCCCACATCATGATTGAGGCCTTTAGCATGAGAATTGAACTTGCAGATGAATTGTAATTCCAACTCCTCACTGTGTATTTGGCTAGTAGAATTGGTTTGTAATAAGACAGCCACTTGAAGATCTTTTAAACAGTGATCAGGAAGATTAAAGTGTTCCCTTTATGTGTCCATTGATTCTTTCCCATAGGGACTGTCCAGTTTGTCCAATATATATTGATGGCATAAATCAAATTACTGGATGTGTAGTCAAATGACCTTTTGATTTGGTCACTTATATTGTTGGCTCCAGTGATGAATTCGTTTGTATAGATATGTGGGCAGAGTTGGCACCGTGGTTGGTTGCAGGGCTGAGTTCCTGGATACTTATGATGTGGTTGTGTGTCATGGTTACCGGAAAGAATTTGTTTCAGGTTGGGGGATTGTCTGTAAGCGAGAATAGACTTTTCTCCCAAGGCCACTGAGAGTGAGGGATCATTTTCCAAGACGATTGTGTATAATGCACTGGAGGGGTCTGAGTTGTGGATTATAGGTAACAACAAGTGGAATTCTGTTATTTTCTCTTTTGGGTCTGTCTTGAAGTAGGTACTTTCTGGGTACTTTTTTGGCTTTGCCAATCTGTTTTATTAACTTCTCCAGGCGGTATTTCAGGTTTGGGAATGCTCTATATAGATCCTGTAGGTGTTTGTCTCTGTTTGTGGAATTGGAGCAAATCCGGTTGTATCTTAGGGTGTGGATGTATACAATAGATCGAGAAAGCTGTCTGGGATGGAAGCTGGAGGCATGAAGGTAAGTGTAGCGGTCGGTGGGTTTCCGGAATAGGGTGGTGGAAATTTGTCCATTATTTAACTGTACTGTAGTGTCCAGGAAGTGGATTTCATGTGTGGACTGGTCCAGGCTGAGGTTGATGGTGGGGTGGAAGTTGTTGAAATCCTTGTGAAATTCAAGAGTCTCTTTTCTGTGGGTCCATATGATGAAGATGTCGTCGATGTAGCGTAAGTAAAGTATGGGTGTTAGGGGGTGAGAGTAGAGGAAACGTTGTTCAAGGTCATCCATAAAGATGTTGTCATATTGTGGTGCCATGTGAGTGCCCATGGCTGTGCCGCTGACTTGGAGATACAGATTGTCTCTGAATTGGAAGTAGTTGTGGGTGAGGACAAAGTTGCAGAACTCTGTAATCAGGTGTGCAGTGCTCTTCTCAGGGATGGTGTTCCTGATGGCCTGTAATCCATCTTCATGTGGAATGTTGGTGTAAAGGGCTTCTACGTCCATAGTGGCCAGGATGGTATTTTCAGGTAGATTACTAATGTTTTGAAGTTTCCTCAGGAAGTCAGTGATGTCCCGGAGGTAGCTAGGAGATTGTTGTGTAAGATAATATTTAAATTGTGAAGAGACTGTGTTGGAGATTGGTGGGATACTTGCAATCCTTGGCCAGTCTTAAACCCCACGAAATTTGAATTTCCTGACCTTTCCCTGCATGAAACATCCGTATTGGGCAACAATGAATAAGTATATACATATACATATATGCAGGGCTCAACAAACCGCTGAATCTACTTGCCTGTGGTGAGTAGATTTCAGCTGGTTGCTCCAAGTGCCCCATTCACCGGCACTTTGCGAGTGGCTCTCACCGGGGTTTGTGTATATGCATACACAAACATTCTTCCACTGATTCCATCACCATATCCTAGGCCCACTGCAATACTGAGGACGTTATGTTTGAGCATACAAATGTTCAAAGGTCAGGAAATTCAAATTTAGTGGGGCTTAAGGCTGGTCGAAGACTGCAAGTATCCCAACAGTCTCTTCATAATTTAAATATTATCTTATACAACAATTATAAGTTACAAACAATTGCAGTGTTTGTGCAGGCATAGCTGTCCCTTACAACGAGATTCCTCCACTGACAGCAGAAGTAGTAGCAGCAGAACAAAAGTGATAAGAACATATTTTCAGTAGTCTTAGCAGCTCAGCACTTTACCCATCTTCCTGCAGTTTGAGTTTATCCACCAAAATAACTCCTGCAGAAATACAAAATCCAGCCACATCCTTTTCTCTAGGCTTGGCTGCTCCCCAAGTTCCTATAGCCTCTGTCATCTCTAGAGAGCCATCTTCTTAATACCCAATTGAGTTAGTGTTTATCTGCAATAGAGAGTTCAGTAAAACACCTGTAACATTTTCCCCACTCCATCATCATCTGCTAACAGAGTTGAGTTTCAGTCAAACACACCCAGCTCGTTACCCAGTACTTCTGAAAAGATAACACAAATTGAGAGCAAGAAATCTGAGTAACTCAAAAATACTAGTAACTCTTGAAAATATTGGAGAGAGGGGTACATACACATACACTCAAACTATAGGGAATGACCAGGGCTGGCCATTCATTGAGTGCATTTTGCAATACATGCCTACAGTCCTTTTACTATGCCAAGACTGTGAAACTGACTAGGCGTGCATCAGTTTCAGGCCAGGTGTATTGCTTCAGGCAAAAGCTGTGGAGAGGAGCAGCAGCACAGATGGGAGTGGGAGAGGAGTCATGAAAGTGAAGCAGAAAAGGCAAAGAAGGAAGGAGACCAACCAATAAAATCCCAGAAGGTACAAGGCTCAGAGGGCATCTATAATTTCTGAGGAAGTAGCTGAAGATTAGAAGCCCCACAAAGGGAAAAAATGCTTAATGCACAGGTGGAGATGATGTGCGTGTTTCTTTTGATGACAATTTTACTGAAGAGGATAAATTGGATACACTGAAGAAACTCACATAAAATCTCCTCACAACAGATATTCCTCTCCACTCCCCATTTGAAAATATATAGGAGGGATGATCTGTTCCTGACTAAAGTGAAATGAAAGCACCGAGTAATGGTTCCCATAACAACTGAAACCTATTTCTCTTTTTCATTTGTATCAGCTTTTTGAGTAGAAACTAGTTTTCATAGTGCAAGGATGCACCCTGCATAAACACCATATAAGTAATATGTTTTTTTTAAATCAATTGTAAAATCAATGAGCCATAGACATGAAATCTATACTATTATAAAAGGAGAGGCGTCTGTCATGCCATCTGTCACACACAACATCTGAGAAGACTGGAGAAGTTTCTAAGGGGAGGCAGGACCCCACCCCCGCCTTCAGCCCCTCCCCTCTGTTGAGGCCCCACCCCCACCATGGGGATGGGAGGAGGAGGAGCAGTGTGCTGAGTGCATGCGGAAGAGCGCATGCATCCCTGCATTCCTGGAACAGCGGGGAGGGAAGAGGCTGTACCACCTGAGCCTCCCCAGTCCCGGGAGCAGTGGGGAGGGAGGAGGCCACATGCGCATGGCCAGCAACACCACAGGGAGGAGAAGAGCATGCATGTGCCCCAGAATCCCTGGAGGAGCAGGGAAGGAAGAGGATGCATGGTCTCAGCTCCCCTCCCTGACCCTGGGAGCAGCATGGAGG